TCTCTTATAGTCATAGAGTATTGAATGACTTTTTGCTTGTGCATGTTGTTATATGTGCATATGGGTATAATTTCGGGGACGAAATTCCCTTAAAGGGGAGAGAATGTAAAACCCAAAAAAAAAAATTTATTATTATTATTAAAAATTATAATTAAAGGGGTAAAATAATAATTAATTGTTAAAATACGGGTTAAAAATATGAATTTTTATATAATTTAGATGATGAAACAGACCTCATCGTTGGATCCGTCTCGCGAAATTTAACTACCCAGTAAATTTTTGTGAAATTCTAAGACATAACACGTATTACAAAGTGATCGGGTGTGGCACGACTAAAATAATTGCGATCAGATTTCATTCGTAGAACCCGAAAAATAATTTAAAGTTAGTTCAATAAAAATATACTAAACTTAACACGAGACAAGACTTAATTGATTCGAAATAAAATTAGACCTGTTAAAATTGAACATGTGACGCGAAGTGGGCCAAATATTAAAAACTATATAAAGTGGAAGACAAAAGTCTTCCACTTTATTCAATACGTCAATGTGCAGCCAAAGACAGAGAGATAGAAAAGAGAGAAAGTAAAAAAGAAAAGAAAAAAAGTTAGACCTCCTGATCTTCTTCTTCAGATCTACGAAGATTGAACAATTTAATCACTTTGGGCCAAGAATTAAAGTTGTTCTACTCAGCAACAGCTATGCAACCACCAAAAATATCGTATTTTTCTCTAAAAAAATATCAAAGATGATAATTTAGGCCTAAGCCTTGGGAAGCTAAATTCTGATTTCATTGGAGTTCTAGTACATGGGCTCACACTACGAGAGGTAGGGTTTCCCCTATTTAGATTTAATTTCAACCTAAAAGATGACATATGAAATGGGTAGACTAAGGGTCTATATAACATGTTAGGTTTTGACTAGTGTAACTAGTGGATCAAATGTAGGATTTATAATTAATCTTGTAATTAGTAAAATCCTATTATAATTAACTTGGTGTAAGTTAATGTTAGTGATTTGAAGCATGTTAATTGTACATTAGCATGACTTGAAGTTTTAATGGCATATCAAGTTTAATAAAATTATTAATTTGTTATGTGATTATGAAATAATATGTATGTTAAATGAATATTTAACATATGATTATTGTGATGAACTTGTGCTTATGTTTATAGAATTAATAAACATGTTGCCATGTTGGAAGTAATAAACATGTTAGTTGTGTAAATTGATTGTGCCCTCTAGGTGTTGTTTAAATGCCTAGATGAATACAAGTATGTTATTGTGTTAATTATCTTACATAACATGTTTGAGATTGTGTTAAAAATGTCATTATATTGCATTTATTATGTAATGGATATTATAAATGGTACCAAAGATAATTGCACATTGTATTGCATTATGCATGGACTGCACTACATTCATAGGCATTAATATGGGTGGGAGTATGTGCATGATATGAAATTAATCACCACATAGGTAGTTAATCGTGGGCTCGAAAATGTTGCACCAAGTTTCGACTGAGTCGCATGAGAAATTAAATGGATAAATATGTCAGGGTATAGCAAGAAGGGCTAGATTTTTCCTCGGGTGCAAGACTCGCTTACTTAGTTTATACACTTTCTAGCGATACAATTCTAGAAAAGTGTAACGGTGAAAACGGAGCAGTAAGTGGGATGTCCTGAAAATTCGTTGATGGTGTGATATCCCATTGGTGTAATACCATAAATCATTTCTCCACAAAGACATAAGAAAATGAATTAATTAGTCATTGAGTATACATACCACCAATGATGGGGGCTTGAAATGTCCGGATACATATACATGACATTGCATGTGTTGTGGGAACTTAGGATGGGGCTCCGTGTTGTTATTTCTTCCGTGAGTCTCATTTCATGGCATAACATTATATATGACATTTGTTCATAATAAACATATTTGAATGAATACATGAAATGATTATTGCATGTGATATTTCATATGCATTTAGGTTGAAAGATATTTTTTATATGAGTTACCTTATTGAGCGTTGACTCGCCTTTTATGAAAACATTTTTTAGGTATCACACAGGCGTCCACCGAAGGCGGGGCCATGAGCCCGCTTTGACGACAGAGCCGGTCTGTGGCTCTTATTTTGAATTTGTAGTCTCTTGTACATGTTTACTTTTGGCCTAGTATTGTTTTTGTAAAGAAAAACTTTTTTTTATATTAAAAAGGCATGTATATAAGACTCTTTTGAGACATTTATTCTTTTATAAATGAATATACGTGGTAATGATAATTATAGTAGTATCTGATACTACGCTATTAAGTATGGATGAATGGGCCCAGTGTGGTTAATGTTGTATGATTGCACAGATTGGATTTTGGGTAGAGTTTCTCATACACAGGAGACTCTGCCCAAAATTTGTTAAGTTATGGATCCTAGTAAGTTAGGCATAACGGCATGGTATCGACTTATACGGTATTTACGGGTATTCCGTGGGTTGATGGGTGATCAACCGGATAATTACGGACACCCGAATTTGGGGCGTCACAATATCAGTGAAAAATATACAACAATAGTAGGAAATTTATAATAGTAATGGACAAAATTAAAATAGCGGTGAAAAATTTTATAAGAGTAGTGGACAAAATTTCTATAATAGTGGGTAAAATTATAATATTAGTGAAAAATTTATAAAAATAAGGAACAAAATTACTAAGATAGTGAACAAACTTTAACCACTATGATGGTAAAAGTATGATTGACATTTTTAACCACATTTGTCTTAAATAAATCACTAATGCATCCCACCGATGTTATATATTTACTTTTAAGTTTGTATTATTATTTACGATTCTCATAATATTAACAAAAATAAAATAAAATTGGCCAATATAATATTAACCTTATCCATAATTGTGGTAAATTTATTCATCATGGTTTTAACTTTAACATCTTTTTGTCATAAATTTATCTTTAATCCTCATAATATTATCCAGAATAATCGTAATATTAACCAAAACAGTAGTAATATTAATCAGAACAGTCGTAAATTAACATTTAAATTTATAAATTTATCCACAATTGTTGTAAACTGACCCTCAAAGATAGTAAATCTACGCTTAATTGTGGTAAATTACCCACAATTTTACTAAATCTAACTCTAGTGACCTTATAATCAATCATAGACATTTGTGATCGATTCTAAACTGTCTATTTTCAATGAGTTATCAAATTTGGACGAGGAAAACCACTTTTGAGGGAGATTACTGCAACCTTGTGATGGATCTCAAGCTCTTGGGATAGATCGCAAATATTTTGGAGATAAAAAAATAATTCTTTTATATTTATATTATTATTTACGGTTATCCTAATATTAAACAAAATGAAAATAAACTTGACCTATGTACTAGTAAATTTATCCACAATCATTCTAAGTTAATCATAAACTGTAATAAATTTACCCTTGATCATTGTAAACTTACCCACATATATTGTAAATGTTACTAAAATAGTCTTAAATGATCCTCTAAAATTGTAAATATGTGCACAAATCTCGTACGCTTACCTATAACAGTGGTAAATTTATCTTTAATTGTGGTAAATTGACCCTCACATGTGATAAATCTACCATTAATTGTGCTAAATTGTCCATGATTTTGGTAAATCTCACCACAACAATGATAATATCATTCTTAAAAATATTAATTATTTTATTTACATTGCACAAGATGACTATAAAATAAAGTAAGTAGAATTAGTGCACTAAAATTAATTAATCATAACTGTCTTACTAATTTTTATTATTTAACAATAGCCTTGTTTTAATACAATATCAAACAATATCTCATTTATTTTAGGATCACTGAATTTGTATAAATTCTTATTGTTATATTTATTGAGAAAAAAATTATTTTATTAGTTAAAGTAATTTCGATTATGCTTCTCTTTATCTTAAATAAATAACATGTATAGTTATATTTGATCTCGGTATTGACTTTGATTAGCGAAATTTTTACTTGTAAAATTTGAACTTGAAATTTGAATTAGTATGTTGAATCTCAAAAGTCAAAAAAAATGATTTTTAAATAAACATATTTTAATAATTTAATAACTATTTAATACTTCAATTATTAGTGAATAAATATTAATAAGACGTCATATAACTTTTTCGACTAGTGCCTGAGATTGGGCCGCCCCTAGCAAAACAGATGACCGACCTCCATTGTCAACAAAGAAGAATCGGTTTGGCAGGGGTTTAATGGGTCAGAGAGAGAGAGAGAGAGAGAGAGAGTGGAAATGGTTGGAGAGTGCTCCGAGGTAAGGGGTGGCAGTGCGTGACCTATGAGGTGGGATTGGGATGGGGATGGGGATGGGGATGGGGTGGGACTGGGTGGCGCAGAAGGTGGGAGTGGGTGTGGAACGAATTTTTCGATCTCTCTTCTACTTTTTTGTATCCATTTATATTCCTGTATGTTTGTGTATGTAGATATTATTTAGCATGTATTTCTTTTAAAGCTTAAGGGTAAACTGGTAAAAGAGACACTTATGTTAGAAATATTGATAAGGGATGTCAACCAAATTTCAAAAGAGAAAAAGAATATCATTGAAAATAGATCTACGTACCTACGTACCGAGAGTGAATAAAATTTACCTTCATATTTTTTTTAGAGTGGCCGAAATTCAATCTATTGACAAGGTACATCAGAGAACACGACAGACAACTTCAATGGAGTCAACAACATTATTAGTAAGTGATGCTCTATTATTGCTTGTGAAAAAGATATGCATAGGTGAGATTATTAGTAAGTGAAGTAGTGGTAAAAAAAACAAAAAGTGAAGTAGTGGTAAGACCATGGCCAAGATGGCACTTTTCCTATATGTATGTGTGTGTGTGTGTGAAAGAGGAAACGTATATGAATCCAAGAGCACAACTAGGATTCTGCAAAGACACACAGCAACAAGACCACCATGCATCATCCCAGCTACGAAGAACTTGGCGCCAGTTGCTTCGTTCATGAAGCTGACCGACGACCATTCACATTGGGTTTAGTGTATTTAGGCCTCCACTCGGTCCTTCCCTTCAAAACCGCAGGCCCGCCCTCAAGGCGAAGCAAATGGTGGCACTCGATGTAACCCGAATCAGCCAGGTCACCAGCACCATTGCTCAGTACAGAAGTAAGGGACTGCACTGCACAGTCCCTCCTGCACTCCTTCTTGTACTCCAAAGTCATGCTAGCAACCTCGTGACTCTCCAACATTTGCATGGGAGCACTCTGCAACAAAGAGAAGTCTCACAATTAGNAACAGAAGTAAGGGACTGCACTGCACAGTCCCTCCTGCACTCCTTCTTGTACTCCAAAGTCATGCTAGCAACCTCATGACTCTCCAACATTTGCATGGGAGCACTCTGCAACAAAGAGAAGTCTCACAATTAGGGAATAAATCTAACTTCAATGAAGCAGAAGAAATGCCACTAGAACAAGAAAAACTGAAAAGAATCTAAAAAGATTTCACAAATGTACCCATCACCAATGACGCATGGATACAGTTATTGAGATACAAATTTCACATACGATAGGTATCGTATATGCAATACAACAAAACCTAAAAAAAAAAATTAAGCTACGGATACAACGGAATATGTGAATGAATAAATACTTTTTTGTTTATATTTTGTATCATGGATTATATGATAATTATAGATGATTCATAGATATATATGGTAAAAACTGAGTACCGTTCATGCAAATAAATTTATGGTATATTGCAATACAGTATGATATATTTAGCTTCGAAGTATCCTTGACATATCCTAAATATATAAGTAGCGTATCTTTGCTGTATCCTAAACATATTTGAAAATAATACATATTTGTATAGTATCCAAGACATCCAACAGTGTCTAATACATATCCAATGCATATCCGTATCCGATATGTATCTGATACGGAAACTTTGGCCTTAAACATATTATCCATGCACACTTCAATCTTCAAATACCATTTTGGTACCAGACAGCACAAGCACAATCTAATATCAAACATTTCCCTTCTTCTGAAGTGGAAAAGTGGCGGATGCACCATAAAATCCTGAAGGTGGGGCAGACTGCTGAGGACGAGGTCCAAACCCAAAACGTTACTCGAAAAGTCGCTAAATAATGCCCCAGTGGCAGCTAAATAATGCCCAAGTGTTGGATACACACTACATAACGTAGGTTGAAATTCAGAAAAATTTGAGGAAAGACCAGGTCCGAACCCAATGGGTGTGTATTGGATATTCGGAAAGGATATCAAATTTATATCCATTCTTAGCCACGTCTAACCCACCATTTACTTGCACTGGTTTGGATATAATGATATGTCATGTCCTATCCAATGTTTGGTAAGCAATTTTTCATTTTTGTGGGGCACACATATACGAATGATATTAAAAACATTATTTAGGTTAATTTGATCATTTTACCCCTTAACATTTTTTTGGCGAAAAACCACTCCAAACATCAATTGACATCCACAACCATCCATGTCCCAACTAGGGTTGCTAGTCGAACGAGTCTAAGTCGAGTTTGAAAAGTTTGTTTCTTAATCGAATCTAAAAAATTATTCAAGTTCGATTCGTTTCTTAAACGAGCCGAACCTGAACAAGCCAAAAATAAGTCGAGCCCGAGTATTTACACATAAACGAGTCGAATTTATCGAGTTTGAGCTGAGCTTGTAGGGTTTGTTTTCTAAATAAGTATAAAAACTTGTTCAAATTCAAGTTCGTTTAGAAAATTAATCGAGTCTGAATGAGCTGAACCCGAGTCAAACTTGAATAGCTCAACTTGATTAATAGTTCTAGTCCCCCGCATACACCTCTGTCCAAAACCATCCATTTCCACCCCCCAAACCCCCCTCTCTCTCTCATGGCAGTTGCATATAAACTCACACACACACATTTATTTATCTATATAACTCACATGCTAATTTATTTGTAAATCATCCATCCCCACCCACAATAAAAAAAACTCAATTTAAAAACCTTTGATCTTCGTTGTAATAGTATACCAATCAAGCAGAGAGAGAGAGAGAGAGAGAAAGAGAAACCAAGATGGCTTGAAGTAGCTTCTCATTTGCCTTCATCGTTGCCTTCATCGCTGCCTTCACAAAGTGATCAAACCCAGAAGATGGTTTCAAACGAGTGGAACGAGAAAGGAGAGGGATAAATATGTCATTACCCATAGAAACCCTATCAAGTGGGATTTAGACCCTGGGGGAGGTGGGTTAATTTTAACCCATTCAAACTTGGACTTGGAATTTATATCCTACCTAATTTTTGTCTTCTCAAACAAAGTATTTGGGGGTCCTACTGCATTGTTAACCTCTCTTTATTGTGTTAACCTACCTTATCCCACTATCCAAACACACCCAATATGTTACTTTTTCCGTTCCTAAATATCTATCGTTTAAGGTTTTTGCCTAGGAATTAAGGAAGCTATTAAATAGCTCTAATCTGAGTAAAAAATAGTTGCACAAGACTAAAATACACTTATTCAATACGTATTGAAAAGAAAAAAAATATGAAAGATACTTAGCCTTCACCAAATCTAATGCATTGAAAAGTTAAGGGTAAATTTGGAAGAAAAAATATTAATTATGTTTTGGTTTCATTAAACGACAGATATTATGGAACAAAAAAAATTGTGTAAAACGACAAATATTTAAGAACAGAAGAAGTACCATAAAGCTTTTGAAAAATGTCATTGGCCAATACCGACCTTACCCCTAGGCAAGTGAGACATCGCCTAAGGCCCCCACTTATCTTAGGTCCCGTTCGCATATATTTCATAAAATTATATTAATAAATTTTTTTAAAATAAATAAGATGTTTTTGTAAAATGATCAAAATATTGCTTTTTAAATCATAAATAAAAAAAAGATCGGATCATATTTTTTTTTACAAAAAATTAAAATATTTTACATTTTTATTTTATCTGAATTTGCAACAACTCTAACCTATTTATACATCTATATTTTCTTGAATTATAATTTTCAGGTTAAGTTGATTTTAATTTAAACATAAAGTGTTTGTTTTGTAATTTGTTTTTCACCTTAAATATACCTACTAAAAGATATAAATTTAAATATTTAAAAATTAAATAAAATAAATTATTCATCTAAATATAATTTTGGGGCTCCATTTAAAAATTTTGCCCAAGGCCTCAAATTTTATTGGGCGGCATTGGCAAATTAGATCATTAATTGTGTTGCCATTCTTAAACATGGACAGTCTCACGGATAGTATCAATCACCTCATCAAGTAACCAAAACTTCTAAATCTAAGTGAGTTATGGGGAATTTTGGATCAAGCACGACTGGTAGATTGTGCTTGGGATGGCATGTTAGACTGCAACCTTAACCCCCCCCAAACCTCCCAAAAAAAAAAAAAAAAAACAAGCGAAATAGAGTGACATTTATTTTAACCACACACCATTGCTGTGGATTTATATGCTGAGTTGTTTTTCAACCATTTTCCAACCATGTCCAATGGTTCTGATAAGCCAGCGAACCCTGACTACTTTGTGTTAGTTCATTGATAAAATTGAGTATGAAAAGGAGCCAATGCAAATTGAACTGGCTTTTCCTGATCCAAAAAAATAAAATAAAATAAAATTGAACTGGCATTCCGATCAGGATTTGGTATACAAATAGATATATAAAAAACTGGATGTTAGAATGAGGTAAAGGGATTAAATGAAATTACCTCAAGGATCCAGTTAATGTATTTTGCATTGTTAACATGCAGGTTCACATCCATATCACTCCATCGTGGCTGCAAATTTGTAATATACACCATAGAAAAAGAAGTATGAGCAGTGAAAGAGTTACGCTGTTATGGTAAAAGAGAGTAATGACTTTCATAATTGAGAGAAGCCTTTGACTTACAGTCAATCCAGTCCGAACATAATCTGCTGTGTTGTCATCAAGTTCTGGTATTTTTATGCCATCTTCATCCAAAACAGGTGGTGAATCAACTAAATAATGTCCTATTTCAGCTCGGACTTCATTTGGAAATCTAGATAACTTCCTCGTCTCTTTATTCATCATCACCAATAGACTGCAATTTATTCAACCAAAAACCACCACAATGCTAACAACTATGTTAAGTCACACCAAAAGGTTTTCTTCAAAATTATAACCAAAAAGTTCACACAATTCTCACGTGATTCATATGTTTGTCAGCTCCTTTGCAAACACTACTAGCTAGTATATCCGCAGAATTTTACACCGTTTCATAGTAAAAGAATAATAGAAAGACACATGCACCCTTTTTTACCCNGTTCACACAATTCTCACGTGATTCATATGTTTGTCAGCTCCTTTTGCAAACACTACTAGCTAGTATATCCGCAGAAATTTACACCGTTTCATAGTAAAAGAATAATAGAAAGACACATGCACCCTTTTTTACCCTATAACCAATCCTATACAGAATTGATGGAAAAGGCTAGATTAGTTCTATTAACTTCACTATGAGAACCAATAAACAATTGAAGTCGGTAACCTTAGGAGATTACAAAGAATTCTTGCAACTAAAGATACTGATTTCCAACCTGGAAGCTCTTGCCAAAATGTCGCCAGTCTTGCAGTCACGGAGAAGGCAATCACGACGAATTCCATTCTTTCCACCTGCAGCTGTCCAAGAGTCTGCTTGAACTACATCACCCCTGCCAACAGAAGTATAATGGATGCGTAGACAAACAAATCAGTTCAATCCATTGTAACTAAAAAGTAAAATTGTGAAATTAAAACTCAATCCACAAATTTAAATGAGTGGACATGCCCACCACAATTGGTACGTATATAAAAATTACTCTCGTGTAGATCTAGTTTTAAAATTTCTATAAAGAAAGAGATCATGCTCGTGATAACCAGCCTCTTGGTCCCTAACTCATAAAATTGAACAAGCCAATCTGGGCAGAAAAAATGAGCTGTAATCAGTCTCATAATTTTCAATGATTTGCCTCGAGAACTAACTATGTGAACATATCCAAATGAATGAGTCAAGCTACCAAGTCATGGGAATGACGTATGTCTGCAAGGGTGTGGATAAGAATCATAAGATAAACATGCCATTGGTTGATATTAGAAAAGCAAGCCTGCACAAAAGAACGACAACGACGCATGATGTAATATAGCATCTCATCAGGAAAAGAGGGCATTCCTTTCTCCAAATTTTCAAATCCATTATCATACATTAGTAAAATACCCAATGGTGATCTATGCCCAAACTTGTCAAATATTTTTCTTACACATGGTAAACTTGCAACAATTAAAGATAATATATTTGGAATGCTTTAGTTCCATGGCAGGTAATTTCAGTACTAAAATACAACGTTGCGGCACTGATCACCATGGCGAAATGCAACCTATTCACCAAAGCTATGTAATTATCCGATTTGAGGGTTTTAGCTTTCTTAAGTGTTTTATAGAATTTTCCACGACTACTTCAATTCTTCAAAGTATGCACTTAACTGCTTTTCTCAAGCTGCAAACTCCCTATCAAAACAATTTTCCTCTGAATAGAACCAAATATAATGGTAAAAGCTGGGTGGTGGAAATCGAATAGAAAAACTTTTCTCCATTGGAGGCTTTTGTCTAGGCTGTAGTCTCTTTCACTGTCCATCTTCTCCCGCCATTGCCTCCCTTCAAATTCAAGCTTGATACGGACAATCATCATGCATGCTACCTCATAGAGAACTAATAGTGTGCAGTATATCTCTTCTTAAGTTACAACTGACCAATCATGAACTGCATGAAAAAAGATACCAAAAATTTGAAAGGTGGACAAGAAAGCTTCACACCCATATTACTCGTCTATGATATGTCATCTCAACAGTGCATCAAGAGTCCTTAAGTCCATGGTAAAACCAATTGATGCAGTAGTTTCAACTTAATATTGGGTAGTGGCAACTTAGCGGCACATTAAATTCCTAGAGACATAAAACCAACAAAGCCAATAGTGAAAAATATTTATCATCAGAAACAGCAATAGGGTAAGGACTGTGCAAATGAGGCCGAAGTTTACCAAGTAGGATGGCGATCTACCAGAACCTTCATTTTTGATACCACCCATACTAGCTTCCTTTTGGACATCTCTGGAGTTGCACCAAAGTCATCACCCTGAATACCTAGAGTCTTTACATGGTTAAGGGCCGTTTCCTACAAAATGAACACAAGTTTGTGAAGAACCGATTATACATTCCATGCACATGTGCTTTTGGACACCATAACTATTCTTTGTTTGGTAAAGCTAAGACAAAATAAGATAGTTAAGTTTTGAGCGCACCTGCAAAATATTCATTATAGTCTCTATAGTTGCAGTACAATCAGCCCCTACTTCATACGATCGAATACAGAAGTTCTGACGGAAAACTAAACCATCCTGAAGGAGTCTACCATAATAAAATGGTTCAACACGTAAGTCAGGCCTCTTCGGCTTCCAATCAAGCATTATCCATCGCCTCTCCGCTGCCAAGAAAATAGTTGTAATAGCATCAAGGAGCATGCTCCAATCAGGCAACTGGTTGATAAAAGTTACTGGGGGAGGTGATGGCATTGTCTCGTCCTCACTCTTAGGGTCTTCCATAACTCCAACGTTGGTCCCATTTACCTTTGGAGGAGTTTGCAAATGTGCCGTAACCTGTAAACCCCTAGAAGAGCCAAAAGAAGATTTCAACTTAATCCCCCATGTATGAACTCTTGCAGGCATGCCTGAGAGATTGCCAGATGTCTTGGTACTGGAGTTAGGTGGTGGAGAAGCAACTGGGAAGAACACGGAAGTAAAAGCAATGACAACCATTATGAAATCAAATAAACCCTCAGATTGAACCAAAGCGAATTAAAGGTTCGCCATTTGGATTGAATTATTTGTGTCCTCAGCAAAGTGAAATCTTCCTAAGGTGTGGCTGAAATTGTGCAACAATCACCGAGAGGCATCAAAGAATGGCAAGCTTCCCCTGCATGGCATGTAACTGAAAATTGAATTAATTTAGAACTAAAATTGAAGCAAATCAAAAGCATGTACTTAGAAAGAAACATCATTTTCACTTCTTTCATAGGAATCAACCCATATAGTCCAAGAAAAAACTTCTACATGCAAAGCAAGACCTTGAGAAAAGAACAAGCTTCATTTCCAAATTTGGAAAAGATCCAAAAAGGAAGAGAGAGAAAGCTTCCAAATCCAGACAAATTTTTTTGAACCTATTCTACATTTGCTTGTCGTTAATTAATTTATGTTTCCCAATCTTAAATTTGCAAATTTGGGACTTTATCATACACAGTTCTCCTCTCAAACACATCAAAATGTTGGGACAAGAATAGTTAAACAAACAAGAACAACGTAGAACAGAGCAACGCAAAAACATAAACACGGAAATCAATGAGACCAACACAACCTTAAATCTAAAACATGCAACGAAATCAGATTTCGCCCCTCATTCAGCAACAAATCAGCAAACGTTCGATTAAAAGCTTTTAGGCTTCTGAATCATCAAACTAAAAATCAAAATTCACAAAAAAAATTCCATTTGTACTATACACACCTATTAGCGCTTAGAAGATTCGAGAGAACTATATGAATGTAGATATACTCAAAGATTCTTCGTTTTGTAATCTGCAAAATCGTTTCTCGGAGATTCGCGTGGCGTTTGCGATTAGGTGTTTTTGCTGTGTTTTTTTGAATTTTATTTTGTTTGTGTTCGAAAAAGCAATTTTGAGAGAGAGAGAGGGAGAGAGAGAGAGTCAGCAGATTTTTGGTGAGGAGATAGCGTCCGGTGAACTTCTTTTATAGTGTGCACCTTCCACTCCCGCGCTCTCGTTTAAATATACAAATTTACGCCCTTTAACCTCTCTTTTTTACCCAGTTGCCCCTCTCTTTATTTGTATTTTTATTTTTTCCACACTACTTATATTTGTTGGCCCTAAAATTTTTAATTTTAGGTTGTCTATTGCTATGTTTAGGCCTGAGAGTCTAATCCAAGATGATATAAACCACGTACTCCTTTTTTTTCCGTGTTTCTACTCTTTACGACAGATAAAGTGACATATTATTTCATTTTCTTTATTCAAAACGCAGGTCAAAATAAGTTACGATAGACTGTAATCTAATATAAAAAGAGTGAGAATACAATACAAATATCATAGATTTGCAAGAGCCATGCTAAGTAGAAATATGCCTACCAACCCTATTGGTACCGATTTACTGCTCGAATGTTGAACGAAATCAAATATCGAATGGATTTGGCAAAGAACACGAGACTTTTTTCCGAAACAAAAGACTACTAGATTTTGGCATTGACGAAAAGTCTGTAGGATTCATTGAGCATACCGCATCTAGTAGAATAACAAACGGGTCACTCCTCTTAACACGAAGCACCCAAAAAAAATGAGAAAGCCCCTATGTGTGAAGTAAACGATACCAATTAATCCCTCTTTTTTTTTTTCCCTCCTGTTTATAATTTCTCCTCATGTGTAGTGCAATACCGATAGATCGCATCCCCAAAAGATGTCACATATTTAGTGCTATGAAGGACCATATCTCTCCTTCCTAGCTATGCATTAATCGGTCAATCTTAACAATCCCTCTCTCCCCCTATTCAGTTACAAAATAGTTGATTAAAATTTTTAATTTGAAAATTAGAAATTTTAAAAATTTTCTCATATAAGACATTTATAATTAATTTAGGCATTTTAGTGTTGTATGTGTCATTACATTTTTTATTTTCTATTCACTCATGATCTGGTTTAGTCGAACCGATTATGATATTGAGCAAAGGGATTTTGTCTCAAGAAAAAACTTTGGATCTCAAATAAAGTTGAAGATGGTGCAAGATGTTACGTTACTTCGAATGGAATTTTAGTCCATTTCACTTGCTTTCTTTACTGCATAAATAAAGTCCAGAGATTTCCTTCTAACTAGTGGCTTACACATAAATATCTTACTATCATCTTCCTATAAATATCAATTATAAATTATTCACTCCTGCCGCAAGTTATATCATTTCACACGCTAAGAACTTGATGTTTTCCATGAAGCCACCCCCCGCCTTTTGGGGTGAACAACCCTCCATTTTGTCGCAGATTTGCCATCAATCCACTTAAAACTGAGTTTGAGTATGCTATGCCAACTTACAGAATCTATATGAGATCTTTAAGTTCTTTTTAGTGTGTTTAATGAGAAGAGTCTTTACCACCCAAGCTGCTCATTTAGTGGTAAATTGTACTTATTTATGTTGTTTCTTACTCTTATATGACTATCAAACATGATTCAATTCACGGAAATAATGTAATTTATTGTTCGGCTTTAATAGTGCCGTAGTGATGGGCTGCCCTTTTAGGTTAGTAGTTATAACTCATTGTAGAGAACCTTTATGATCACGTTCAAACGAAGTTACTACCTATTGGTTACTCCTACCTTTTTATTGATAAAAAAAAGTAAAAGAGTCTTTGGCTTGGATTGACCCTTTGAATATATGAATATTTCCATGATCCTCAAGTTTCATGCATTGTTTTTCTCTATATTTTCTTGAATATGGTTAGATCTAGGAAAATGAGTAGTGCATATTTTATTATTATACTGTTTGATTGGAAAGAAATGATATCAAAATAATTTATGATTGAGATGTATATATAAGAGGGTGAGAATAATATGTGTAACATGTTAATGGGATGAGTTTAGTTTAATAGGGGTAGATTCAATCATTAATGAGATGAGTATAGAATGTGGTAGACTTAATAGTTATTGACCTGGGTATAAAAAACGTTGACAATAAATCAAAAGGAAAGAGGGAGGCCGACATGAGATATTTATTCTTCATGAATATCATAGTTTCAACATAGATGATCTGTTTTTGACCAAATCAAGAAAAAAATTAATTGAAGTGCGCGTAAACTAACCCGAACATTCCTGAGAATTGAAAAAAACAAAAAGGAAAGGAAAGAACTCTGAATATTGAATTTAAGATCATGGTATTGAAGTCTATGCCTATTCCCACCAAACCTAGATTTTGTTTACATTCAATCGGACAACTTTCGCGTGTGATCTTCAATTATCAAGGTGTTTCAAGTAACCTTCTTTGATAGTTGGTTTTCTACGTTTTCAATGTTAAGTGAATCAAGTAACGTTTATGGTGCATATAAGTTTAATAATGTCAACGTATATTGATGTGTCGGTTAATGTCATTGACTAATATCGTTGTAACTTTAGTGGTTGGATTTTTTCATTGGGAGCATATTGGTCGGTATAATATTAAACAGGTAATTCGATTCTAGTAATTAAAATCTATTTGTTAGTCCGAATTTGATTTAAAAATATTTTTTAATCTTATATGAATATTCAACAAAATTTTCTTTAACCACCCATATCCAAATAAATTAAAAAAATATATATTTAAGTGAATATGTGAGTTATTTAAAGTTAACTTTTATTAAATTATATTTTAATTCAATTTGAACTTGGATATGAATTAAATTATACTTTAATTCAATTTCAATTTGATTCAATTATATTTTAATTCAATTTGAACTTGGATAATCAGTAAAAATTATCAATTCATATCTAATTAATAGAATTCTGACTCAAATTGAATTCAAGTAAAAACCAAATGTATTGAGATACCTAAATTTCAAAATTTAAGAAATAATCCCATTTGATTTTTAAAATATGAAATTATACCCAATTTTTTTACAAATTTTTGTTAGGCCCCGGTTTAAAAACTTTAAATTTTTTAAAATTTCAAAAATACTCCAAAAACTTTGAAAATTCAGTGGGGAAAACTGCCCCCACCTTGAATTCACTCCTGACAATAAATACTCATACAAGAATTTTATGCACCGGATACAACCTGAAAAGGAGTGAGTTTGACAGCTGCAATGCAATTCAATTTCGTAGATATACATACCTCCTTGACTCTTGAACTTTTGTAAATGTTTTATAAATCGGATTTGAAGCTTGACTTTAGGTTGATGTTGCTCTCAATCTTGGTGGTCTTATTCGTCTAGTGTATTATATGATAAAATTTTGTACCTAACGTTTTTAGACGTGGCCACGTGACTATTTTTTAACTTGTTTATTCGAGATAAAACACGTACGTAATTGAATTACTAAATTTTATGAAAAAGTTGGTCCAATGATGAAGTAAGTTGGTTTTGATATGTAGTTTATCCTCTTTCCCATAGGAGAGGTCATTTACGAAAACAAACTATATACTTTTAGAAGAAGTAAAAAACGAAGCAGCAAGTCCAAAGCAGAATTATACTCAACAACCTATTTTGAAATGGGACAAAATCATATTTTGTACCCGAAAAGATTTAAGAATTTCAATATTAAATTTCTCATATTACATATACTAACAGAAGTAACAAATTATAACACTTTTAATATATTTAGAGTGCGATGTGAAAAATCTTATCTTTAAGAGTACAAAGTAAAAAAACTTAAATTTTTCGGTGTGCAAGGTGATGTTGGGATTTAACATTCTTTAAATCTATAGACAAACACACACAATCGAAGAATAAACTAAGAACATAAAGCAATAAGAAAAACAAGAAAGAACAAGACAAAAAGATTTTACGTGGTTCGTCAATTTGCCTACGTCCACAAAACTTCAGGGATTTCACTATTGAGAGAGAAAATTACAGAAAACGGCTATACACTTCGATCAAACCTTAATCACCAAAGTAGCGATTTTTTATATGTCCTACGCACCGAGCTACAATCGGCCCAAGCCTTCGTTTCATGAACCAATCCTAAAAAAATTTGTCATTAAAAAATCATGCAGCATTACTTCGGATCGGATCATC